GCAAAGGGAGGCCCTTTCCAAAAAAAAAAAAAAAAAAAAAAAAAAAAAAAGAAATGCATAGAGACTTATGACCCAGCCCCCAGCCTGCCAGACCTACCTGGAAACTACCCATCTCAAGAAATCAAGGCAAATGAGCCATTTGAGAGGTTCCAAGGGCTTTCACCAACTCTTGCCTCCTGACTTAACTTATTGAACCTGTCATGCTAGGAAGGAAATAATATCTCCCATTTATTGAGGGCTGATTGTGTGCTATATATTCCAATTTATGGGAAATATTTAATACCCTGTGTCATAGATACTGATAATTTTACATCTTACAGATAGAGAAACACCAAGAGGTTAAAGAACTTGCCCAAAGTCACACAGCCAGTACATGTGCCAGAGCCAGCGTCAGACCAATGTGCCTGCCTGACTTCACAGCCCCTGCTAGCACTTCTTGTGCTGGGCATACATGGTGGGATTAAGGCTGTGAGTTCAACAAGGCATTAATTTATGGAGCATACCTTTTTCTAGGTGGCAAATCATATAAAACATTTTTTTTGTACTGAAATGGGCAGATGTTCTGTGGGAGGAATGTGAACCTTGTAGCAATGGCTGAGATAAAATTTGAGAGGACATAGAAATTTGATGCTAACTCCAGTGATGCAAGCTCAGCCTGTGGATCCCTGGGGTAATCTCTTTTCAGACCTCTCTAGAGTGGTGCTGATGTGGAGGCTTCCTGAAGGCCGTAAAAGCAGGCGCACCCCTTTAATCCTAGTATGTGGGAGGCAGAGGCAGGCAGATCTCTGGGGGTTCAAGGTCAGCCTGGTCTACATAGTGAGTTCTAGGCCAGTTGGGGCTATAGAGAGATCCTGCCTCAAACAAACAAAAAAACCAAAACAAAACCAATACCAAAATCCAAATAGACCAGACTTCCACACCTTTAATCCCAGCACTCAGGAGGCAGAAGGCAGATCTCTGTGAGTTTGAGGCCAGCCTGGTCTACATAGTGAGTTCCAGGCCAGCTGGGACTACAGGGAGATCCTGTCCAAAAAAGAGACTTCCATATTTCCAGAAGGGCTAAAGTTCTCAAATTTCCAACAGATATTAATCTGCAGGATTTAGGAATGAAACAGGAATTCTTGGGAGATCCTGAAAATCATATTTTGTATTTTTCATAATTTTATGTACTTAAAAAAGTAAGAAGTTGCCGGGCGTGGTGGCGCACACCTTTAATCCCAGCACTCGGGAGGCAGAGGCAGGCGGATCTTTGTGAGTTCAAGGCCAGCCTGGTCTACAGAGTGAGTTCCAGGACAGACAGCTGGGGCTACAGGGAGACCCTGTCTCAAAAACACCAAAAAAAAAAAAAAAACCTAAGAAGTTCACATTTAGTAGTAGCCAAAAAGAACTGGAAGCCTTAACAAATATTCAAAAAGTAGAAAATGCCAGTGCACATTATTGGTAGTATTGGAATAACAAAATGTTTAACTTTTTAACTAGATTAACAACACTACACAGTCATGAGTTGAAATTGCCAATATGAGGACTTATGTCCAAATGTGTCATTTCTCAGAACATGATAGGCTTATTAAAATACACTATGCATGTGAACATATTAATATTTATCTTATTTGCAAGAATAACTCTTAATGAGAAGGGCACAATACACTTTTAATGCCAGGAGCTACAAAAGACCCAATTAGACTGTGATAACTTCTCTCCTGTGCTCCTGTCCCGTGTTCCAGAAACGTTGACCTTAACTGCAGATTCCATGAGTCAGAAATTTCTCTTTTAGCTTTCTGACCCAACACAGTAGATTCCTTCAAGCTAGGATTCCTCTGTGTGGTTGAGCATTAATTATCAGAGGAGAATTGTAGTACTTTTCTGCATTTTCCCCAATTTATCGGCTGATTGTTTTTGAGATTCAGAAAGAAAAAAAAAAACCAGATTTCCCAATAAATGCCAGGAAAGAGAAACACTCCCATGGGCTGAGCAGGAATGACAGAGTAAGGCCACTACAGACATATCACCTACTGTTTATCAAGCCGGGTCATTGAAGCTTCCTGGTGAGGGAGTACCCTAGCTCTGCCAACTCCTGGTTGTGAGGCCTGGAAAAATCACTTTACCTCTCTGAGCCTCAAGTTAATGGGTAAAATAACATCTAGGAAATGATATATTTGCTTCATGAGGCAATATTGTAGAAAGGAGTGTGACTTTGGAGTCAGTTCAAATCCTGTCTTCCTTACTACCTCTTTGATTTGGGGCAAGTTCTAACCACTCAGTTTCTCTTTTCTGTAAGATGGGGACATTGACTAAATCTATTTCATAGGGTTCTGGTGAGTCTGAGATCTCATATGAACATGCTTAACACAGAGCATGGTATACTGTAAATGCGTGATCCATGTGGGCCAGTATAGTCATTACCTCCTGTATCTACCTCACAGGGCAGTTGTGAGGACGAAGGGGTGAAGGAGTGTGCTGAGGAAGTGCTTTCTAAGCCGTGAAATGATACCCACCCGTCTCTTTCTTCTTCAGAGATGGGGTGGTCAGAAGCTATTGGAAGAGGTTGGTAGAATGCCCCAGGGACAGGACCTGATCGTATTCTATTTACAAAATGTTACTGGGCTGAGGAAGAGGTGCCAGTGTAGTTAACTGGAGAATAGGGTGCAAAGTGCTCTTAGGCGAGAGTTTGCTGCAGCCAAGTGGGCACATTCCATTGTGTGTGGCTTGCACTCTTGGGAACAGGGAGAAAGCAGATTCGATTTTGAAAAGGATGCTGGCTGATGGTTTAGCTCAGTGGCAGAGTGTTTGCCTAGCTAATGTAAGACTGTGGATTTCATCTCCAGCACCTCACGGAGCATACAAAAAAAACCCAAAAACCCTTCTTGTCTGAAGGAGGCTTTGGAGAAAGAATAGCCTTCAGTGGAACTATCTACTACATGTGTTTTTTTCAGTAGGAATCAAATCACAGGAAGGAATCATGTGAAAAGAAGTGGGGAGAGGTGAGTGGAACTTTGACTCTTCTGAAATTGTTCCTAGTAAAAGTCGAAACTTAGGAAACATTTCCATTACCTACAACCTATGCATCCCCTTCTGTCATGAATGCACATTTCATGCCCTAGAGTATGGATCAAATGGGATTGAAAGGGCCCCCTAAAGGTGATTTCATGTATTCCTGACAAGAACCTCATAAAATAAACCCTCATACATTGTGCAGATGAGGAATTGGAGTCTGGGAAAGTTAAGTCCAGTGCCCAAGGTCACACAGTATGATAGAATCCAAGCCTTTTTCTTCCTCTGAGCTTCCTTAACCCACCAGTACCAGATCACTGACCTTGGGAAAGGATGAGGGAATCTATAAGAAGTCTCAGTACCTCAGTGTCTTCCTCTCTTGACTTCAGCAACAACTCTCTCTCTCTCTTGATATCACTCCTAATTCTCCAAACACTGCTTCTTTGCTTAACTAAGTCCAGGTCCTTGGGCCCCATCCCTGAACTCCTTCTTTAGTCCAGGTGAGGGACCTCTCGTTCTAATCAGACTGCCCTCTGAACACCACCTTCCTCAGCCATTTGCCTTCTTGATGTCGCCTCTGAAGTCTAGGTTCCCAGCTAATTAAGAACATTCCCTTAGCATGTCTCTCCTGAGCTCCTGCTCCTTATTGTGGCCCTTTAGTGTCAAATTGCTGTGGCAGTGGGCAGTCTAGAAAGCCTTCAGAGACAAAGCCCTGTGATTAAGTTCTTAGGGCTAGAAGAGGATCACAGGGTGTATTCTCTGAGAGTTGCCAACAGGCTTGAAATGAACTTGGAGAGTGAAATTCATCATTTAATCAGTCAGCTGGCTACTGAGTGCTCAGTGATGTGCCAGATTCAGTATCTGGCACAGAAGATGCGTTCATGAGCAAAACAGACCAGAACCGTGGCTTCCCAGGCAACTGGGGAAGACGGACATAAACATTCCCCCTAGAATACAAGCTCATAACCTGGTATGATGGCACACACCTGTCATGCCAGCACTTAGGAGGTAGAGGAAGGAGGATCACAAGTTCAAGGTTGTCCTTGGCTGTATAGCAAATTTGAGGCCAACCTGGGCTACATAAGACCCTGTCTCAAAAGCAAACAAAATGTAAACTTATAAACTGTGATAAACATTGTGAAGAAAAAGTTCAAAGTGCTATGAGAGAATGTAACACATAACTGTGGGGCATTTTAAGGAACTGACAATGTGCAGCCCATAGTGTGGAGAAGAGAATTCTATGTCAAGGCAATAATAGGCACTCGAAGGGGAGGAGGAGCTTAGTATGCTGGGAGACTGCAGTGAAGTTTGGGCCTGAGTCTGCTGGATCCTGGCTGGAGGATGGTGTCAGGGACTTTGCAGACCACAGTAAGGAGCTTGAATTGGGGTGTCTAACTTTTTGTTTAGAAATGATGTCAAAATTATAAAAAGTGCTTAGAGTGGTACGAAAGATGCCCATATGCCCTCAACTCCCCATGGTAAACACTGTACTCGACTCATATCACTGTTTGCTCTACCTTTAACATATGTTGTGTCTGCTGAACTACTTGAGAATAAGATGCATATATCATGTCCCTTTATACTTAAATACAGTGTATATTTCCCACGTAATTCCTTACCCACTTCACTGAATTTGTCACTGATAACGATATGGCAGCTAAACCACCTTGTTTGTCAATTGTCTCTATGATGCCCTTTACGGCATCTTCCCTTTAGTACAAGATCAAGTCTACGAATGGTGTGTTGCAGTAA